AAAAGTTATCATAAATTTGCTTAGACTTGTAAATCAGTGGTTTGTATTATTATTGTGAGACCAAATTATGAATAAATCTTAATTTTTAACTATAATTTCTAAGTAGCTTTTTAAAAAATTTAATCTAACTTTGTTACCGTGCTCATAAAAAAAAACTTCTCAAATAAATCATTAATTGATCATGTTAGCAACTCTCTATCTTTGATTTCCTCTATCAATGACACATGCATATAAATCCTTCTTGACAATCATTTTCTGCATAGCTTGAATAATATAGTTCCTACAACATTTAAAAAGCTTAAATCAAGATAAGAATTTCGTAAGATTATAAAAATTATATAAGAAAATAATTTTTTAATCCATTTTATTTATTAAAAAAATGATGACAATATTTGAATTGTTCTTGAAGAAATATAATAAATGATAGCTTTAATCATTATATGCTAACAAAGAAATTATATATGTTACTCAATGAAAAAATGATCGAATTAATGCAACTAAAGTCATAAATTATTTCATTTTTTTTTAAATCAATTTTTTAACCTTTATCTGTAGGTCATGAAATTAATTTTTATAAATTATTTATCAATTTTTATAAGTTCATTTATGGGAAGAAATTTTAAATTATCTATAAGTTATAAAATTAATTTTTTTAAAATAAATTATTTAATTTCTATCTTTATCTGTAGACCATGAAATTAATTTTCATAAATTATTTATCAATTTTTATATGTTTATCTATTTGGAGGAATTTTGAAATTCAAATCTTTATCCATAAACCTTGAAATTAATTTTCATTTTAATTAATCAATCAAATAGAAAATGGAGGAAAATAGAAAACATGAAAGATAATCAAAGAGGGTTGAAAACATGAAAGATAATCAAAGAGGGTTGAAAACATGAAAGACAATCAAAGAGGGTTGCCACGTAAGAAAGAGAGAATTTTAAAATTATGAGAATTTAGGAATGAATCTTAATTAAGATTATATCTTAATTCAAATTAAATATTTTGAATCCTTTTTTATAGTGATGACGGCAACAATAATGTATATAAATTTGGTTTATTTTTGTAGGGTGAAGCCATAAATCTTTTAAAGGAAATGATCATAGAGGCAATTGCTAAGAAGTTTGACATAACAAGCTTTAGTTTTAGTTCAAACACCATTCGAATTGCAGATTTGGGTTGTTCTGTTGGGCCAAACACTTTCAATGCTATGAAAAAAATCATAGAAGCTATTAAATGGAAATACCATTCAAAAAATTTCACAACTGAGATGCCTGAATTTCAGTTGTTTTTCAATGATCATGCTTCCAATGATTTCAAAGTTCTCTCTCCCTCTACACACCTTCTCTCTTAGGATTGATCTACTTAGAGTGAGTTTCTACCTTAGATCCTTTATTAAAAAGATAGAGTGGGTCAAGGGCTTTCATTTAATCTGAATTGTTGGTAGTTCGGAGCACTTTGGAGTTTGGGTCTTCATCTCCATCTTCTCTTTTGGGGCTATTTCTTCGAGGTAGGGATTTCCTACTCCATTTTATAGGTTTTGTTCTAAGTTTTGACATTTTGATATGTTGGGGATACTTTGGTGATTTTGGGAAAAACCTAGTTGTATTAATAAATTAATTTGTATAATTAATTCATGGAATTGGGAAAATATGGTTAAACTCACGGAATTGGGGAATTCATTGATTAAATGGCGTAATTGGTTAATTTAAATCACTCGTCTATTGAATTGTTGGTATATTTATTTCCAAGTCTAGAAATAATTGTTTTGGGCTATCGGTGGAGGATAGTCGTGCTTGTTGTAGACACTGCATGTGGATTAGGGATAACTGAAACTAACCATTGATTAAGTCATCAATTTTGACTACTGAATTAATACAGACATTATGTGTATTGATTGTGTGTTGTATATGTTATGTGTTTGCATACATTGTTTTGTGTGGGAGGAGATAGGGAATGTACTCCACGGTTTAGGGGAAGATAGGGGATGGACCTCTAAACCGGATCTTGTTTGGAAGGAGATAGGGGATGGACTCCATTAGCATCACTTTTATGTGTGCTTATATGTATAGAAGTGTTTTATTGATACAGCACTAAAATGTGTATCAATCTGGAAGTATGAAGTGTTTGATTTGAGCTTGAGTCTCATTTGTTTGTTGATATTCGAAGGACGTGAATATGATATATGTAATTCACTGTTGTAAGTTTGGCCAGGTTCTGAGCCATGTTGATAAAATTGGAAAGTAAAACGTGTCTTTAGCAATAGTGTCATGAGACTGTAAAATGAAGTAATTGATTATCTTGGTTAACCATCTGTTGAATGCTATTGCTTTATTCATTGCTTATATGTGGTTTAGTATATTTCTACTGGGCTGTGGCTCACCCTATATGGGAACATCATTTTCAGGTTCAGGCGATAAACTACCTCCAAGGACTTAGCGTGGGAGGGTTTGGCTTCTGGAATGAAGAAGACTACCTTTAGTTAATAGTTTTTATTTATTAGTACATGTAAACATTCAAGCCTAGGGCTTTTCTTGTATTGAGATTAAAACTCATATTTTTGAATCCAAGTGCTGGCTTGGAAAGATGTAAGCCTGTAAGGCATTTTATTCAATGTTACATGTAATGCTTTATTTAGTAATACTCTGATGAATGAATTAATAAATTGTCTTCTTTAAATAATGCATGTCAATGATATATAATGGGTTATTTTTTGAGGGCGTTACAACTTGGTATCAGAGCGTACCGGGTTTGAATACTTTGGGTACGTGGGAAGTGATTAGTATCACATTGGGTTCGTCTCGTTTGATAGAGACTTAGTGTAACGTTATATGCTTATGTGATAACATGTTTATGTGATTATGTGAGTATGGAATGTAGTTTCTAGGATGTTGATTGGACCCTTGAGTTTCTAATTGAAAAAGTAAAGAAATTGTCGGAATTATTCAATTTACCAAATTGTATATGGTAAAATTTTGGTTTAAGGTAAAAAAGAATTAATTGTTCTGGTTATGGTAATTTAGTTATAAGAATGACTTTTGGAAAGATTCAATTTGGGGGGGGTTCCATATGCTAATTTAATTATTATTCGTAAGAAAGTAGAAATTCCAACCATTTATGATAATTTTTTATTATTAGACAAATTTTTAGACTAAAAAATGAGAACAAAACAATAAAGGAAATGCTATATATAAAAAGATTTACTACCTTATTTTCTTATCACTGAACAAAAAAACATGGTTCTACCTGTATTTTTTATTGGCACCTGTATTTTTGTTTTCATTTTTATTGTAATTTTGGAATGATTTTATGAGAATAAATGCATTTTGACTTTGCAAAAGCAGTCCTATTAACATTGTTTATTGTGCTTATATGGGGAAAAAATCAAGAGAGGGGACTAGTATAATCTATGTTTACTACAATAAGCAGTATATATCTTAATTTTGATTTAACGTAAAAAAGAATTAATTGTTCTGGTTATGGTAAGTTAGTTATAAGAAAGGCTTTTGGAAGATTCCAATTTGGGGTGGTTCTATATGCTAGTTCAATTATTCGTTCGTAAAAAATTAGAAATTGCAACCATTTATGATAATTTTTTTATTATTAGACAAATTTTTAGACTAAAAAATGAGAGCAAAACAATAAAAGAAATGCTATATATAAAAAGATTTATTACCTAATTTTCTTATCACTAAACATAAAAACATGGTTCTACCTGTATTTTTTATTGGCACCTGTATTTTTGTTTTCATTTTTATGGTAATTTTGGAATGATTTTATGAGAATAATTGCATTTTGACTTTGCAAAAGCAGTCCTGATAAGCTACCTCCAAGGACTTAGCTTGGAAGGACTTGGATTTTGAAGACTATTTTTAGTTATTTGTTTTTCATTGTTAGTACATGTAAACACTCAAGCCTAGGGCTTTATTTATATTTGAGTTAGAACTCATACTTTGTGTCCAAGTGTTGGCTTGGAAAGATGTAAGCCGGTAGGGCATTTACTTTGATGTTACATGTAATGCTTTTGTTTAATAAGACTCTGATGGATATTATAATGAATTATTAAAGTATTTTCCTTAAATAATGCATGTCAATGATATATATAATGGGTATATTTTTGAGGTCGTGACAGAGAGTGGACCCTTTTAATTTTTCAATTGGTCAATTTATTTTAGTTTGGCCCTAAGCCATAGCCTAGTAAGCCTATGCCCAAGGCCGGCCCTCGTCACTGATAAGACTTATTAGAACATAATAAATAATTTAAATTAAGTAGAATATAAGTAGGTGAATAGTGATTTATGAATAAGTGTCCATTTAATTTTTTATTAAACTATTGAAAAAGTAAAGAAATTGTCGGAATTATTCACTTTACCAAATTAACTATTCTCCTCTTCCTATAAAATCTATTAATCTATTAACTAATTTAACTATTCTCCTCTTCCTATTATATCTATTTTGCTTAGTTACAAACATATATTGCAACAACAACAAAACAAGAAAAAAAAAAAAAAAAAAAAAAAAAAACCTGAGTTGGGACGCGATATAAAATAACACTTACCTTAAATTTAACTGAGGATATGACTTTGAATGGAATAATTTGGAGGAAATTGATCTATGCATGTGTTCCCATGTAATTGGGACAGGCTTTTTGGGTTGAGTTTTAAGGATCATGATGTAATGGACAAACATTTGGAAAGTTTTCTTATCTCACCTGAAGTACAATTTTCCTTTTTAATGTTGTGAAGTTTAACTAGTTTAACGTGATGGCTTTTTTAGTTTGATCTGTTTAAATTGTTTGTTCCTCTATGAGGGAACATTGGGATGCAGTACTGGTTGAGAATACCATTTCGTAATTATATTTTTATTGATGATTTGAAAGCAGAAATTAATGTTCAAGTGGTTTTTTTTGTTTGTTTAGGTTGTTAGAGTTCGAGAAGATTATGTGCTTTCTCAGGAAGCCTACATTCTATTCTATGCAAAGCGGGGCACACCCTGGCTTTCAAGTTTGATGGAAACAGATAAGTCATCTGTAGATCCAACCGTATCAAACAATTCCCCCAAGTCAGTTTTAGATAACGTGGATCACATTTCTACATCATCCCCTCACGTGGCAAATAATTGTAGTTGTGAAATCAACAAAGCCAGAGAGGATGTGGTTGGAATTTCTGTGGAGCCTTCTAATGGATTTAGACATGATGGGGTTGAAGGTAATGAGTCTCAAAGGTTATCTACTCCAGTGCCACCGGAGATAAGTGATTCTACCAGCGGAGCTTCATGTGAAGTTGAGAAAAAGTTATCTCCATCTGTTCTTACAGAAAATAGTTGCAATCAAGAGTTTGATGAAGTTAAGAACGGTGCCAATATCACTTCTTTAACGCCCCCTAGCCCCCCTATTCGTAAAAAATTAGAAATTGCAACCATTTATGATAATTTTTTTATTATTAGACAAATTTTTAGACTAAAAAATGAGAACAAAACAATAAAGGAAATGCTATATATGTTAGGGAAAAACTATAATTCCCCACAAATAAAAAACTAATGCGGAAAAATTAAATAAAAAATAACACAAGAATTTTTACGTGGTTCCCTCAATGTGAGGTACGTCCACGGGATCGAAATCTGATTTCACTATCAACTAAATAAGTTTCCAAACGATTACAAACGAGACACAAATGGTCTCACAAATCACCCTTAGGTGAATTCCAAATAAGCACAAATAAACAAAGAGGAAAAATATCACCAAATAGATGAACCAAAATCTTCAGAACTAAAGTTGAAGAAGATCTAAAATAATAGACCCAAATTAACTTCACCAAAGCAGCCAACTAAGCACCAACTTAATTACATACAAAAATAGTGCACTTGAATATGCAATCAAGAATCAATCAGCCACCAAGCTTGTAATTCAACCACAAAACCCATTGAAGATATATCACGGCTGCTACATAGAAGAAAAACAGCTTGTTCTTTTTTTTCTTGAAAAACAATACCCAATAATATATTGTGAATCTAGAGTTTTTTTTATCAAAACCTTAGTTGTTTCCCAATTGAATTGGGTCTTCACAAAATTAGATATAATATATAAAAATATGTTATAACTAATACCAAACCAAATTAAACTCTTTTAATAAACCAATTGGGTTCCAAACTCCACTAAGGAGATATACCCAATAATATATAAAAAGATTTATTACCCAATTTTCTTATCACTAAACATAAAATCATGGTTCTACCTGTATTTTTTATTGGCACCTGTATTTTTGTTTTCATTTTTATGGTAATTTTGGAATCATTTTATGAGAATAAATGCATTTTGACTTTGCAAAAGCAGTCTTATTAACATTGTTTATTGTGCTTATATGGGAAAAAAATCAAAAGACGGCATCAGTATAATCTATGTTTACTACAATAAGCAGTATATATCTTAATAAATACGGTACACCTGTCTTCTCCGAAGTCCTATAAAATCTATTTTGCTTAGTTACAAACATATATTGCGACAAAAAAACAAAAAACCTGAGTTGTGTTTGCAACTATTGGAAAACAACCATGAAGACCCTCTCCATTGCGACCCTCTCCATTGCTGTAGTTGTGGTGCTTGCTCTCTTCGTTACTAGTGGTATGGTATTTTAATATTTCAATGTCATCTCTTCATTTATCTTTCACTCATATAGAAAAACAAACAAATTTCAAAAATTCTTTACATTGGATTCTTGATGTAGCCTATCTTAGTTGCTTTGGTGAGTTTTACGCTTACAACTTATTAAAAAAAATAGCTTAAATAAATTAGGACCAAAAAAAAAAATTATCATAATTCAAGAATTTTACCAAGAGTGAAAACTGTGGTTTGAGATTCAATTACTGTATTGTAGAATCCATGTATAGATCCAAACATGATTCATATTTGTTGAGTAAAATTCAAATACAAATTCCGGGTGCATAGTATTAGTACATTATTTTTATATAGGGTTAATTACACTTGTTACTCTTAAAATTTGACTCAAATTTTACTTTAATCCCTATAGTTTCAATTTGAATAATTTGATTTCTACATTTTTAGACTAGTTTCAAGTTAGTCATTTCATTAAAATTTTTGTTAATCTTATCTGTGTACACTTTAAAAAATTGACAAATGTTCAAAAATTATTAATTTTAACTCCAATTTGGGGACCAAAGTGTTCAAACTATAGAAATGAAAAGTGTAATTAAACCCATTCAACAAAAAATTGAACTTGGGAAATGCTAAAGTTATGGTTTTTGTGTTGTTATATATATATGTGTGTGTGTGTGTGTGTGTGTGTGAGAACATGGATGTGGGTGTGGGTGTTGATTGAATGATGGAATGTAGGGATGCAGCAGGAGAAGAAGAAGCACGCAATGGCAGCAAAGATATGTGCGGTGGTGGTGCCGGTTGCATTGCCATGCACGCATGTTGCCTGCAATGCAGAGTGTCTGAAGGAGCATCGTAAGCAAGGCATAGTACAACACATTCGTGGTATTTGCTCAGAGGGCAAGTGTGTCTGCTTTTACAATTGTGGTAATGCTACATCACTAATATTATCCTAGCCTTGCCTTGCCCTCATTCTATCACGATGAAATGTATTAACTTATCCTAGTTAAGCTCTTTTCTTTGTAATAAAATTATAATAAAAGAAGGTTTTACGTCTTATTGTTTCTCTTTCGGACTGATTTTGTGAAAGGTTTGTTGCATCATTTTTAACTTTGCAATTTGTGTGTGATTTTGTACATTGCCAACAACAACAATGCCATTGATCAATTTGTTTCCCAACGTTTGCCATGCCAACAACAACAATGCCATTGATCCCAAAGTTTGCCATGCCAACAAATCCATGTATAAATGTTGAGAATAAAATTGTAAGACGCCCAACTTAACTCGCAATTGAAGTCTCGTTTGGCAATATCACTTTTTAACTTAAAAGTCAAAAAGTTATCAAAAAAAATTAAAAAGTCAACAATCTATACCAAAAAGTCAATGATTCTATTTTCTTTCTACTTTTTGCACTTTTTTTTTTTTATAAAAAATCAAAAAGCCATCCCAAACATACTAATTTTTTTATTTTACATCATATTTTAACTAAAAAACTAAAAAATTACTAAAAAAAATATGTTTCCAAATGAGACCTGAAAGTACTATGGCATGTCCCAACAACTTGCCTCAACTTCTCTTGTGCAGGCCTGGCCCTGACCATAGGCCCACAAGGCCATGGCTTAGGGCCCCTCAAAATAAGTCCAAAAAAAGGGGCCCCTTCTATTATAATTTAATGTAATATATTAGGTATGTTTTAAGTTCAAAAAAATTTTTAAAAGGCCTAAACTAATTTAAAATAAATTGGTCCATTAAAAAATTAAAAGGTCCAACACTGCAGCCCAACAAAGTAGCAATTTGAAAGGCCAAACAATTAATCCAATTCTTAATTCCTAACAATTAAGGGCCAACAGTTAAGGCCCACTTTGACAGCAGCTTAAAAGGCCTATCTAATTTCTAACCCCAATTTTTCCTACAGCTTGTTTGATAGCACACCAGCAACCCAAGCCAACCAAGCAACAAAGCAGCAGCACACGACGGGGCAAAGCAGCAATACATGTATTTTTTTTTTCTTTCTATTCAATTAATTAAATATTTGTCTTGTCTTTTGCTCAATTAATTGCTATTATAATATTGGTATTTACATCATCAAGAAGAATTTGTTTAAGTTTAATAGTTCACATCACATAATTTAAAAGTTTTGTGTTTTGTTAAGTGGTGGTGGTACTATTGTTTTGAATTTTGATCCAAAAAAATATTTTGGTTTCAGCTCATCGTGACTCTTAATAGAAATTATCTGTTTGAATTTGCAAAAAGAAAAAAGAAACAAAGAGTCGAAAAATTAGTCGAGTGTCAAAGATGAGCTATTGTAATGCTAAGTATTTTTTGTGATTTTAATACAAATATTTTGTCCTTTACCTTCTTTTTTTTTTTCATTCAATGAAAAAAAAATGTGAAGGATCTCAGAAATTTATTAATTGATTATCGACTTTAGGTCTCGAAAATCTCAGGACCGAACCTGCTCGTGTGTGAGAGAATAGAGAGGAAGGGCTAATTTGGTATAGGCAAACATGAGAGAATAGGGAGGAGATAGATTTGACTACTTTGAAAATATGCAAGTTGTGTGTAGATTTTAAATTTGTAAAAAAAATAGAAAGATGAAAGAAAAAATTAAACCAAATAAATTTTGGTCAAAACTAAAATCGCTTGCTTTAGAGACTATAAAAACAGGTTTAACTTTACTTAAATCACTACTTAAACACAAAGTTTTGAATAAAGAAATCCACTAAATATAATTAATTATTCACATTCATCCCACATAAATGAATAATCCAAATTCATAAAAATATACGTGATGTTACTTAAATTAAAAAATTAGACTCATTTTTTAAACGTAATCATCTGACATTGCCTTAGAATACATAAGCAACTCTCTCTCATATGTTTTTTAATTATCAATTAATCATCTTATTTATGTATCATTATATATATATATATATATATTTTTTTAAAAGTCTAAAAAATATACTTGTAAATCTTTTTAAGGGATAAATTTTACGTTGTGTTTGGTTTAGTTACGGAATTATAATTCCACCCTCATATTCCAAGGCTTTGTTTGGTTGTAGTTTTCTAAAATTGATTCCAACCCCACATTTCAAAATACATTTCAGAACATGTTTGATAAACCAAGAGTTTTTGAATTTTGAAAAGAACAGGTTGGGTTTACCTGGTCGTCCACCCGGACATCCACTCAGATGTCCAGCTAGTTGACCAAAACAATGTATTTTTTTTTTAATTACAACCTGTTATTAAAAAAAATTATATTTGTTTTTGATAATTTTTTAATATATAAATTATTTTTTTAGACCAAAATGACAAATTATTTGGCCATTTATTTAAAAATAACAAAAAAAAAATTAATTTGTCACATTAATTTTTAAAAAATAAAAAAAACATTTTTAAACAAAACAATTATTTTAAAAAATTTACAACCAAATATACAATCAAAGTAATTTTAAAGCACTAGCTAAATATTTTTTTTAATATTTTATATAAAAAAATATTTTCAAAATTTTTTAAAACTTTTTAAATAAAAAAATTATTTTTTTGAATTGAATTTTAAAAAAAAGTTTGGTTATGAACTTTGAACAGAATTTTCAATAGAACTTTGAGTTGTGTGAAAATTTCAATAGAATTTTGAATTGTGTGATTGGTTATGAGTTTTAAGTTTTTTAATTAAGTTTTGAAAAGTCTTTTTAAAACTCATAACCAAATAACTTTTCTCATTTCAAAAATTCAATATTCAATTCAAAAACTCAAAACCAAATACATTTTTTATTTTCAAATCATGATTCAACAACTCACAAACTCAAAATATAATTTTATTCAAATCATGATTCTAAAACTAAACCAAATGCAACCTTACACTTTACCCTTTTTATGTTTGGCTACTTTTTCATTTTAGCCCTTAATTTTTTTTTTTCTTCACTTTAACTTTTTATGTTTTAAGTTTTTCTCAATTTACTCTGAGACCCCTAATAAAACTCTCCCAATTATGTGACATGTTACTCAACTATGTAGGGCCCAACAACATTGCCACATCATTGTACGTGAATTAGGAGATCTCAATTGTGGATCTCTTGTATTTCTCTTAAAAATCAGCTACTAAGACCCGAGCCCCTGTCACATCATTAAGAATGATTTTAGAGGTCACGTTTTAGGGATCTCTTTTATTTCTCAAATAAATATTAAAACGTCAGTCAATGGTGATTTAAGATAATATGGAAAACATATTATACGATTATTGAGAGAGAAATTTTGAAAGTAAATTTGATTTGAGGATGCAATAATGTTTTAAAGGGTTATATCTTTTGGAATAATGATATATAAACAAAAAAATTTATATAAAATTTTCATACATAATGACGTGGCTTTTACTTTAAAACAAAACACCCATAAAGATGGCTAATATTTACAACACTGCCACTGCTACATCATCCTTGTAGTATTTTATGTATGAATAAAGTTTTTCCTGTCTTTTGTTATACTTAATTTCATCTCGTCTGTATCATTAAGTATTCATGTATAAGTATCTTTAATTCTAGGAGCCTCACTTTTGGAATGTTAATGATTATGCAGTGGTTAATGCTCTGTTCTCAGGAGGTGTTTATGTATTTTTTTTTTATAAATAATTTATTTTTTACCTATTTTTGTGATGTTAAAAAATCTTACAATACACGTTTCAAAAAATATATTTATATACACATGATTCATATTCCGATTTGACAACTTTAATGTAGTTTGATGCTAGTGCTGGTAGTTCCTAATTATTTATTTTTTTATTTTTATTTTTTTTGTGGTACTGCAGCTGGTTTCTGAGAGTGTGAAGACAAAGCAGGCACAGAGCTTTCTTCTATCTGAGAAGCAGGAGTTAGCAAAGAAATTCCAGCGGGTTAACACAACACTAGAATCTCTGAAGTTGAGGATTGCTGACAGCGAAGAGCAGGAAAGGTTTCCGAGTGATTTATAAACAAAGTTGCCTCTTTATCTTCCTCCAACCTAGTTTGGAACTCTGCAGATGAAAGTTTGCATCGATGAAACTCTAAAATCTACTTGTTAACCAATATGATGTATATTATTGATTAATTGATAATTACAAGATTGTTGTATATATTTTGTATATTGCAAGCTATTATATAGGAGAGGATTTGGGAGTAGGTGAGGTAGGTGAGTGGTGGTAGTGGATGATAGTGGAGGTGGTGGGTGGTAGTGGAGATGGTAGGTGGAGTTGGTGGTGTGGTAATTTACACAATTTACAATTTACATTAACACTACTCAAGAAGATAGACACCTTGCAGTCAACCTGGAAATTGCGAACAGCCGTAAGTGAACCTCGGAAGCGACTGGAGGATCGTCTGGTTGAGGCCGTTGTTGGGGGCGGCGGCGGAGCCAGGCGCATCGGGCCACGGCAATGAAGCCGACGACGCAGAGGTATGGAGGTTTTGCTCTGGCGAGGTATGTGAAAAAAAAAAAAATCTTAGCGGACTAGATTGAGGTCCGGCGGGCGGGTAAGGCGAGGTTGCCGCCCGCCGGTGACGCAAAAAACAAATACGAAACTCTTAACCTTGCTCTGATACCATGTTAACCAATATGATGTATATTATTGATTAATTGATAATTACAAGATTGTTGTATATTGAAGACAAAGCAGGCACAGAGCTTTCTACTATCTGAGAAGCAGGAGTTAGCAAAGCAATTCCAGCGGGTTAACACAACACTAGAATCTCTGAAGTTGAGGATTGCTGACAGCGAAGAGCAGGTAAGGTTTCCGAGTGATTTATAAACAAAGTTGCCTCTTTATCTTCCTCCAACCTAGTTTGGAACTCTGCAGATGAAAGTTTGAATCGATGAAACTCTAAAATCTACTCAAGAAGATAGACACCTTGCAGTCAACCTGGAAATTGCGAAGTGGGAATTGGCAGATGCTGAGAAGGAATTGAAGTGGCTGAAATCCGCTGTTTCTTCTTCTGAGAAAGAATGTGAGCAGATACAGAGAAAGATGGATGAAATCCAAATGGAACTGGACCGTGAAAGGTGTTAAATCTTTTTTACATTTTTACTTTTCAAACTTGGGCATTTCAATTAGAGTGATGTTATATGTTGCAAACTTGTGTCTGATAATTCCAAGCCCAAGCATGCCACTGGAGTTTGGGAATATAATCATTGAATTTTTTTGTGAAGTATGAGAAAAATTTCTACGCAATCATTGCCTAAGCCAGATTCTCCATTAACTAAATCGAGTTCCTGAAAAACCAGGAGCGAGAGGAAGAAGCTTGATGAAGAGCCCATGGAATTAAACATGAAGGTTGCCAAGATGAGTTCTGAAAATGGTGAGGCTGCAAAACAGAAACTCCAGGATGAAATCAAGGATTGCAAGGCTATTCTCAAGTGTGGTGTGTGTTTTGATCGGCCAAAGGAGGTAATGTATACGTGGCAGGTTACACATTTAAACAACTTCACTTCTTTTATTTGTTTAGATTTGGATTCGTGACATTCCATTTTCTAATGCAGTCAAGCTGTCTTGTCCATCTGCCAATGCTGCTGTTCTTAAAGCAAATTAACTGTGTTTTTATATATTTGTGTGTGGTAATTGATTTTGGGTTATGTTTAATTGGCAGGTTGTAATAGTTAAGTGCTATCATCTATTTTGTAATCCCTGCATTCAAAGAAATCTAGAGATCCGCCATCGAAAGTGTCCTGGCTGTGGAACTGCATTTGGGCAAAGCGATCAGAGAGGGGCAAATATCTGTATAGTTTCCATTAGCTTTGGGGTTATATAGCTAGTGAATGCATCTAATGGTGGGAGCCTGGAGCCCAAATCCTTTGAAGTTGTCTGTTTCTTTGCTGTCTTCCGGGGTCATGGCGTTCCATGTGCACTAGGAAAAAAAAAAAAAAAAAAGCCAAAAACAAAAAAAGAAGAGAGAAATTTGTATTATTTTCTTGATGGTGAAACTCTGAAGTGTTTGTAAAGCTTATTGACTACAGTCTTGACAGGTGAAACTGAAGTGTTGACAAAGTTTAGTGTTTTACAGGTTTTTTTTTTTTTTTTTCAGTGAATTTCTACTTGTTAGATGGTTTTTATCCAAAATAGATCAAGCATAGTGACAGCATTTGGAAATGCACCACCAGATTGAATCTATGTTTGAATAGATTTTATTTTTATTTATCATACTTTAAAAAAAAAGGGTTTATTTGAGAAAGTGAAATTATTAAGTATTGAGGTTATTACTGAATTTCTAGTGCTAAACTAGGGTATTTGGCCTAGTTTGTGTTATACTGGTGTAAGGTTTAAAAATACTAAATATTATAAGTCATTTTTCACATTTCCAGTCATTTTAAGTAGTAAGTGATTAAACTTCTAGTCAATTGTGCTTGATAGCGATCGCTAAGATGATCTCTAATGGTTTATCAAATTTAAATTTGATGAAAAATTTATTTTTTGACCTGTCAACGGTTCATCAAATTTAGGATTTTTTAAATCTTTCATCAAATTGAGAACAACTGTGCATTTTATCAAATTATTGTTTATTGTCATTGGATTTTCACTATTAGATATCCCTCAGATGACTATTTCAAGACAAATATTTATAAGAAAATTTCACTGCTCAATTGACCGGTGGTTTGATGAAGCTTTAAAACTTTCTATTGGAACATTTGATATCAAAATGAGTTTTTACTCAAATTTTATGGAAAAAAATAAAATAAAATACACCATTGGAGATGCCTTAATGCCTTCCACCTTAATTGCATTAACAAATTAGGCAATGTTTTAAAATTATAAATGGCTGCCTAGTTATTAAAACGTTCAACATTTATTATTAAATTAAGATTATTTTTTGTTTTTCATTTCTCAGTTTTTGGGTTAGCGGAATAAAATTAGAAATTAAAAAGGTAGTAAAAAGAATAATTGCACAAAAATATAGTGGAGAAGGTCTAGTAGAAGAGAAGAAGCAAATATTTTTGGGTGAGAATTGGTTAAAATAATTTATTAAAAGATAAAATAGATTAAAATAATTAATAGGAGCGTTTGTGATTTGGTTGCGGTTGGGGAATCTCCATTCCGCCATCTTTCTGCTGGATTGGCGAATTGAAAAAAATCAATCCGCATCAGTCTGCCGAATTGGTGAATACAGATTGAGTGGATTGGCAGATTGACAGATAGATACGAATTGGTTTAACGGTTTAAACTTTTACAAATTCTAAACATAATACAATAACTTATCAACAATTTTTTTTTTAACATAATCAAAAGATTATCAAGTAAATTGTCAAATATCAATAATAAATACATATAAGAAATCATGCATTATCAAAACTATTTCATTGGTTTTTTTTTTAATTCAAAAATTATTTAATTTGATTTTTTTTTTAAATGACAAAATTAAGTATTATATTTCTCACACAAAAACACCAAATATCAACACTTGTCATTTGATAAAAAGATTTCCAAATTGAAAATAAATTAAAAACACAACAGAATATCTAAACTACTTTTCAATTGAAAATACAAACAGAATATCTAAACAAATTGAAAACACAAAGTTTTACAAATTATTAGGGGTGCTTGCGATTTGACGATTCGGTTGCGGCCAAAGGAACCTCAAATCCATCATTCGTCCAAAACTAGGTCGATTGGAAAAATCTATCCACAACCGTTCGCTCGTCATCACACATCCGTCCAAAATGCGGCGGATCGGTTTAGTTCGGTCGATTGGGCGGATCGGAATATCCGCTGAACACTTTAATAGTTAATAAGATAAAATGTCACATCCAACAAATAAGGTTCGTTTGGAATGTGGATTGAGTTTATTTTAGGCTGAAGCTAAAAAGTCTTATTTGAAATAGACTTTTTGCTTTTTTTGACTATTTTAAGAAAAAAATGAAATGATTATGGTTTGAATGGGCATTTTGTCTTATTCGCTTTAGCTTATTTCGTCTTTTTGTAACTAAACGAGTGCATAATCATTTTATTTTTTCTCTTACAACTATCAAATCAACTAAAAAAAATCAACTTCCCAAACACAACTTTTTTAGTCAGGCTAAAAAAATAACCAAATAGCCAACTTCCCAAACAAGGCCTGTATGGGTTTAATTTTTAGATATTTATTAAGAAATCATTTTCAAATACTTGTATCACAATTAGTCTATAACATATTATTGTCTTTACAAATCAACTAAAAAAAATCAACTTCCCAAACACAACTTTTTTAGTCAGGCTAAAAAAATAACCAAATAGCCAACTTCCCAAACAAGGCCTGTATGGGTTTAATTTTTAGATATTTATTAAGAAATCATTTTCAAATACTTTACGAGGGTTGTTACAATAACATATTATTGTCTTTAAATGAGTCTTATTATTTGGACATTTGATCCACTAAATCTTAATTATCATATTTAAGATATTTTATGGATAATTTTATCCTAGAAATATTTTTTGCATGGTTAACAACTTAGTGATGTGAATATTCATATTTTATAATGTAAATGTTCACATCACAGAATATTCACACTATCAATATGAATATTATTATTAGGGATATTTTGGTAACTATGTCATCGATAAGACTTATTGGAACATAATAAAATAATTTGAATTAAGTAGAATAGAAGTAGGAATTATTCAATTTACCAAATTGTATATGGTAAAATTTTGGTTTAAGGTAAAAAAGAATTAATTGTTCTGGTTATGGTAAGTTAGTTATAAGAAAGACTTTTGGAAGATTCCAATTTGGGGTGGTTCTATATGCTAATTCAATTACTCATTCCTAAAAAATTAGAAATTGCAACCATTTATGATAATTTTTTTATTATTAGACAAATTTTTAGACTAAAAAATGAGAACAAAACAATAAAGGAAATGCTATATATATAAAGATTTATTACCTAATTTTCTTATCACTAAACATAAAAACATGGCTTTACTTGTATTTTTGATTGGCACTTGTATTTTTGTTTTTATTTTTATGGTAATTTTGGAATGATTTTATGAGAATGAATGCATTTTGACTTTGCAAAAGCAGTCCTATTAACATTGTTCATTGTGCTTATATGGGAAAAAAATTAAGAGAGGGCATCAGTATAATTTATGTTTACTACAATAAGCAGTATATATCTTAATAAACATGGTACACTTGTCTTCCCCCAAGTCCTATAAAGTCTATTTTGCTTAGTTACAAACATATATCGCAACAAAAAATAAAAAACAAAAAACCTGAGTTGTGTTTGCATCTATTGGAAAACAACCATAAGGACCCTCTCCATTGCTGTAGTTGTGGTGCTTGCTCTCTTCATTACTAGTGGTATGGTATTTTAATATTTCAATGTCATCTCTTCATTTATCTTTCACTCATATAGAAAACTTTTTCCACAAACAAATTTCAAACGATTTTTTCATTGTGTTCTTGATGTAGCGTATCTTAGTTGCTTTGGTGAGTTTTATGCTTACAACTTATTCAAAAAAAAAAAGCTTAAACAAATTAGGATAAAAAAAATAATTATCATAATCCAAGAATTTTGCCTAAAATGAAAAACTATGGTTGAGATTCAATTACTGTATTGTAGAATCCACCATGCATAGATCCGAATATGATTCATATTTTTTGAGTAAAATTCAAATACAAATTCCAGGTACATAGTATCAATGCGGGTGCCTCTATTTGCACACCACATTTCATCTCAAGATACACCACTGCTCAAGACACACCTTTAGTAATTTGATAAATAAAACATTTGCTCAATACACACCACAATCTTTCATTTTTACCTTTACTCACACACCCCACCCACAATCTTCCATATTTACCTTCACTCACTCACACACCCCACTCACCCACAATCTTTCATCTCCCTCTCCATTCTTTCATTATCGTCCCAATCTAAACTAGTGGTGAAAACCCATTCTCCTTCAATATCTGTTTCATCAAAGACGTCATCGGTGGTGCTCGTTGTTGTCATCATAGTTGGAAACAACTCCACATTGGAGATACCGTAGGTAAGAATTCTCATTTGGCTTAGATTTTAGGATTTTATGTACGTTTTTCAATTTCCGTAAGCATTGTATTTGAAATTTCATTTTCCAAACCGTTTGACACTTTACTTTTGAACATTAACCATTTGTCTGGATTGTTTCTGTCGAACAATGTAAATTTGTTCGACATTTCAGTGTCAAACATAACTAAACTATTCGGAGGTACACTGTCGAACATAACGTTCCAGATACTTAGTGTGTATTATATTCATTATAGTCATTTATGGTAATTTTATAAAATGTGTGTATCATAGCCCTTTGTCTTTTGTGGTCATTTTACATAAGGTTAATATTGTAATAAAAATTAAACCAATTAATGGTGTGCCTTGAGATGAAAGGTGGTGTGTAAATAGAGGCTCCCTATCAGTGCCTTATTTTTATATAGGGTTAATTACACTTTTCACCCTTAAAATTGACTCAAATTTCACTTTAATCCCTATAGTTTCAACTTGAATAATTTGATTTCTACATTTTTAGTCTAGTTTCAAGTCATTTCATTAAAATTTTTGTTAATCTTATTTGTGTACACTTTAAAAAATTGACAAATATTCAAAAAATATTAATTTTAACTCCAATTTGGGGACCAAAGTGTTCAAACTATAGAAATAAAAGGTGTAATTAAACCCATTCAACAAAAAATTGAACTTGGGAAATGCTAAAGTTATGGTTTTTGTGTTGTTATATATATATATATATATATGTGTGTGTGTGTGTGTGTGTGTGTGTGTATCAACATGAATGTGGGTGTGGGTGGTGATTGAAAGATGGAATGTAGGTGTACGGGGAGGAGATATTCGTCGCTGTCTGTACTCCTTGCATCCAAGCTCCGTATCTATCCGATTAACCTGAAAACACAACG